ACAAGTAAAAATGTCACAAAGCTTTCCTGCCGTTTTTAAGTTGCCTTTTTCTTGATCAGCATTTGCTTGATTGCTGTGCATCTTTGAGTATTTTTCAGAGTTCTGACAAAGTTGATTCTGACTGTTTTGGCTTGTTTTTGCTGTTTTTGTGGTGGGTGGGTGGGTGGGTGTTTGGGGGAACCCTACTCCTCTGTCTTGTTGACATCACTCCTCTCCTTTGTTCTTCAAGAATATTTTTTCCAGATGTAGAATTTGCATTGGGCAGTTATTTTCTCTCAATAAACTTGAAAATTACTACACTTCCTTCTAGCCTACATTATTTTAGATGAGAAACCTGTGTAATTCCCATCAGTCTTTTCCTATAAATGTGCCATTTTGCTTTGGTAGCTTTCAAGATTTTTTGTTTTTAGTTTTCAGAAGTTTTGCTATAATGTGTCTTAGCGTGGATTTCTTTGGGTGTTCCCTATTTAAGGTTCATTTAGTTCCTTGAACACGTAGGTTTATGTCTTTTCTCCAAATTTTGGAGATTTCAGCCATTATTTCTTTGAGTATTTTTTCAGTCCTGTTCTCTCTCCCTCTGGGATTCAATAATATGAATGTTGGCTCTTTTGTTAATGTTCTACAGGCCCCTGAGAATCTGTTTGTTTTTAATCTGTTTTCTTTTTGTTGCTGAGATGATATAACTTCTATTGATCTTTCCTGAAGATCACTGATTATATTTTCTGTCATCTCTACTATACTGTTAGCCCATCCAGGGAGTTTTAAATTTTTCATTATTTATTTTTCAGTTCTATAATTTCTATTTTTTATAACCTCTACTGCTTTGCTGAGAATTTCTGTTTATTCATTTTTTTAAGGTAATTTGTAGTTAGTTGAATTATTTTTAGGATAGCTTCTTTAAAATCCTTATTGGATAACCACAGAATATCATATATCTCCATCTGATATCTGTTGATTACCTCTGCTCATTCGAGTTGTGATTTTCTTATTTCTTGGTATGACACAATTTTTTATTGTATTGTAGACATTTTGGATCCTATTTCTTCTTGTTTAATAGGCACTCTCCATGTTGAAGTGCAGCTTGAGAACCAGGTGAGTGTGTACTCTGAGCGTCCCATTCATCCTTGCTGATTACAACAGAAGTGCAGCACTTACACTGTGTCCTTGCAGTTGAATTTCAGTTCCTCATCAGCCATGATGACTTTGTGGCTAAAATGGGGCACTGCCCTGCACTTAGAGGGGTGTAAGTTAGAGGTCCCATGCTTACAAAGGCAAGCCAAGAAGACCAGAAACTACCACTCGCATTCAGCTTGCCAAGCAGGGCTGTCACTCTGAGACGGCGTCCGCTGTCCTCACCCAGCTGTGGAGCCATGCCTAGGAGAGTTAGCCCAGAGGGAAAGGCAGGCCACAGAGACCGCTGAAGCTCTTCCCAAAGAACCTGCCTTCCTGTGAGACATAGTGTGTGGAAGTTCAAGCCTGACAGTGCTCTCAAAGCAGTGGGGGGCTTGGTACTGAGCTTCCCCCTGGGAAATGAAAGATGGTCAGCCCCCACTGGGCCCCACTGCCCCCTGGGAAGGGGTAATGAAGGGTGACTCATCCTGTTTGGTCGCCACAGGGTACAGCTGGGTCATTTCTATGCTGGGCCCATGGACATCCTCTGGGAGAGGACACTGGAAACATAGTGCCCACTATTCCCCCATCTACCATTTCTTTCCTCCTCATGGATACCAGGTACAGTTGGAGGCTCCACTCTCCACTGGGCCCCACTGACACTGTGGGAGAAAGGAGCCACAACTAACCTGCTCCATATCACAGTTCTTTTTAATATGTTCATCAGTTGATGGACATTTGTGCTATTTCAGTTGTTTAGCTATTGTGAGTAATACTGCTTTGAACATTTGTATAAAGTTTTTGTGTGGACATGTGTTCATTTTTCTTGGGTATATGCCTAAGAGTAGAATTTCTGGGTCATATGCTAACTCTTTGTTCATTTGAGGAACTGCCAGATTGTTTTCAAAGTGGCTGTACTATTTTATATTCCCACCAGCAGTATATGAGGGCTCTTATTTCTTCACATCATTACCAACATTTGTTATTTGACTTTTTGATCATGGTCATGCTATGGGCATGAAATGGTATCTCATAGTTTTGATTTGCATTTTCCTAATGACTAGTGACATTGAACATCACTTCATGTGCTTATTGGGGACGATTCTGATGTGTCTAGGGAACATGGAGGCCTCTGCCCCTGTCTGTCATGCCCACAGGTGGGCAGAGCTCCACTTCAATGCCATGTGCATCCCAGTACTCATGGGGGCCTGGGCGAGCATGCCAAGAACATGCTGAAAGAGAGCTGTGGTCACCTTTCAGACTCTAGTTTGCCTTCTGCTCTACTTCCTCAAAGACTCAGATGCAGGGTGGCTGGTTGTCAGTAACTGAGTCTGTTCAGTAGTTACGTGTTTATTTGGGGTCAGCCCAGTTCTTAAGGTTTCACAGCGGAAAGTATTCTTAAGATGTGGCACAAACCACCCCTTCCTTAGCTTCATCCAGACAAGTCCTACTTTATCAAGTTCATTTTCACTGTCAGGACTGTTGAGAACATAGTTTCTTGTACTCTCTTCTGGATGTCCTGAGAGCTGCAGACTCCTCTCAATGTCCAGACCTCCTGGTGTGCCTCATACACCTGCTTTCTCTGGCACTTTCTCTTCCCAGGCTCCCATGTTAACTGGCCTCAGTATCTGGCTGCTGCTCACTAGGCTCTGGCTGCCCATCCCCACACACCTGAGCTTACCACTGTGCACATGGTCACTGACCCCGCAGCCCCTGGTCCTCCGCTTCATCAGGCCCTCCTCTGTAGGGCAAAGTTAAGCTCCATGTGAGACTTGCTCAGAATCTCAAGTCAAACTCCCCACCCCCGAGAGCAGGCGCAGATCCCCTAGTTTGAACACCTAGGGCCTATAGCTACCAGGTTCCAGCTTGCCTCCCATGCTGCATCTCCTGCTCTTTCCTCTCCTGTAAAGCTCTGTGGGAGCACTGCTTTCTGCACCAGTTACATTAAAAAAATTATTTTCCATTTCTGTAAACAAAAATAACAAGGGCATGGTGCTACACTGAGGATAGGAATTTGGGCACCATGTTGAACTGTCTTTATCTTACTTAAACTACATGCATCCAGTTGGGGACTTAGAGGGTGCAGTTTAAAAGGAGCTTGCTTAAAGAACTGATGATTAAAATAGGGCTCTGTTTTGTTTTGTTCTGTCTGTGGCAGAGGATGTTTCTGTCTGCACATATACAGAGAGGGAGAAAAAGAGGTGGGGTGGGGGTGCAGTCTGGCATTACTGAGAGAGGAGGCGGACAAGAAGCCTTGTTGCAGTTTCTGTTCTTTATATCCTTCAATCTCAAGTTGCAGTCTCCCCCTCATCCAGCTCCTTAAAAAAAATGTGACACTTAGTGAATTTTCTTTATATGCCTCCGCAAAGACATTGTTGAAGTTTCGGTTTTCCCCACGGTCAGCAACAAAAGGCACAGAATTGTGTCTTTGAGTTTTGGGGAGGCATGGCTATTATAACTATACAATAAGGCATAACCAAGAATTGGGTTTTCGCATTCCAAAAATTAAAATATGACAGTAAATGTCTTCTAATTAATGTATCACCCCAAAATGTCTTTGTTTATTCTATCCAGTTATTTAATAGTTCTATCAAGAAAATATAGGGGGCGGGGTTTGGTCTTGAAAAACTGAATAGGGTTTTAATAATGTTATAAGGTATGTGCATATCCCACTTCATTACAGTTAACTTTTTATCTGCCCTGTTCCAGAGAGGAATAGAAAGAGAATTTTTTTCAAAATGTTCAGAGAATAGATATGAAAGGAATAATAGAATTTAAACCTTTTAATATGTGTGTAAAAGGTAGTGTTTACATCAGTAAGATATTTTTCTAAATCTATTATAGCATTTTAGATGTAATTCTTTGAGCAGTCAGATATTCTAAATGTATTTGAGAAGCCAAATAGAAAAGTTTACAGTTTAGGAATAATCAATGTAAAGTAACATGTTATTCTTCTCTGTATGTGAACAGTCTGTCCAAAATGCAATCTATTCATATGGGATTTTGCCTGTACAGCTCTGAGTGGGAATCAGTAGTTTCTTTGTTCATCACCATGGAAACAAATCAGCCTATCCTGAATAGCTGTTAGATCACGCAGAGTGATGCTTGTGGCTCAGGGTAACTTCATCACTGAGCAGGCTGGCGCTGACATCTCCTCGCCTGCAGACCCTTCCTCCTGGGAGCCCAGCCATGCAGGACCCGCCCCGGCGGTGCTCAGCAGTACCCTTCCTCAGCTCCTTCCTCCAGGGCCGACGGCACTCTGCCTCCGACCCTGTCCCACGGCCACAGCAGGGGCGGCGCAGCTCCGCCGCCAAGATCCTCTCCTCGTCCTCTCTCCAGGTGATGGTGGCAGTGTCCTCTGTCAGCTGTGCTGCAAGAAACCCAACTGACCCCCAGAGAAAAAGTAAAGCTCTCTTACTTCTTAAAGATTGTTGCACCTTGGAGTTTAAATTTAAGGACTGTGAAGGCACTGTGCCATGTTTATACCTTTTAAAATTTTGACTATTAATTCTATGTTATGCTTTTTATTGCCTGTTATGCTGAGATTTATTGATATGTATTAGGAGATGAAATGGTTGAATGTCCTGTGTTTTTTCATTAAGAATAATAGTTTTTAAACAAAACTTATCCCCTTGTAAAACATCTGCTTTTACAGTTTCTTCCTTCTCATTACCAGTATGACATGTGGAGATTACTGTGTGAAGAAAGCCTTTTCTATTTTAAGAGATAGTGCATTTAGATGAGAAGAAACAATTTATTCCTGACAAAATGAAGGGGATTTAGCACTGGCTTCTCATCGACAAACTTGAGATAAAATGGAAGCTGTTTTCCGTGTTACTAAGAGTTTGAAGAATGGAGTTTTTAAATCTTCCCTTCCTTGTATGTTCTAGGAAATTCAGAACGTCCAACACCAAAGTATACGAAAGTTGGAGAGCGTTTACGGCATGTCATTCCTGGACATGTGGCCTGCTCTATGGCATGTGGTGGCAGAGCATGCAAATATGAAAACCCAGCCCGCTGGAGCGAACAAGAGCAAGCCATCAAAGGGGTCTACTCATCCTGGTAAGTGATTCTGTCAGTGTTCAGTCGCTATCCCTGGGTGCTGAGTAGGGAATGAAGCTGTAGGTGATGCGGAGGCAATGGCCGTGGGAGGAGAATGTGGGGTTTTGAAGGCAAAGGACCTTGCTCCCACTCTGGGCCTTGCTGCTTGACAAGCTGTGCGGCCTTGGTCTACCTACACAGGCACTCTGAACCTGTTTTCCTCATCTGTAAAACAAATAATGAAACCAATCCCACAGGGTTTTTTTTAATCAAGTCAAAGGATCTATATAAAGTATCTTAATGAAATAGTAGTGCATAGCTCTGAAGTTCAAAAGTTGCTAGAAATAATTAAAATGTTCAGCTATAAATTTGAGAAATTACAAGATTACATATGTAGTTTTTCATTCTCATACAGGTAAGCTTTAGCCTCATTTTTCAATTGTTCCTATATTCTGTATGAAAGGAATCATTTTCACACAAATACACTTCCAGTCTGTAATAAGTTTAGTAGGCAGTGTAAGATGCTTGCATTGTTTATGGTGTGTAAGTGCAGTCCATTCATTATTTGATTATACTGCCTTTTATTAATAGCAAACCATCAAATACACCTTTTTTAATACAGTGATATCTCTGGCAAATTCTAATAAACCAAATCACATTTGAAACACACTAAGAAGAAATTCACTGTTTAAATAACCCTACTAGTGAATCATTTTATATGGCAAGAATCCATTTATAAATTAGAAATCTATCAACTGGCTTATCTACTTGCTAGCTGTGTTTTTGCAAATTGGATTTGCTGGGTACATGTGTGGTGATACACCCAAAGTTCAGCTGTCACCATCATGCTCCACAGACCATATTCTAGACTATCACTGTCTTTCTTAAAGAATGTTGTGAAAAAGCACTTCCCTGAGATGCAGTCAGAAAAGTAAATTCTCATACTATAGCTTGAGGTCACATTAATATTTTTGGTTTATCGTAGACTATGCTATCTTAGTCTTTTTCAGCTCTGCTGTCCCCTTGTTGCATCTCTCCTCATCTTATGCTAATTGCTGTTGAATTTTGGGGCTCCCTGTTAAATTTCAGGCATTGGGTGGGGGTTGGGTGGAGGAGTGGTATCCTTCCGGATCCTGCCACGCTCACCTGGTATCTCTGTTACTCCTCAGAGTCCTGTGACCCACAACTTCCAATAGCCTATCTGATAGATCTTTCATTAGGCCTCCGGTAAGAGACTCAACCAGAGAAGAGTGAAGCCAGATCCAAAGGAAGGATGGCTATTTGTGAGCCTTGATCCATTCATACACATTCTTTTGGCTATGGACCAGGCAGTGTGATAGACACTTCAAATTAGTATCTTCTTATAGCTCTTGTGAAGTAGATGTTAATGTCATTTTATTGATGAAGGAATTGAGGTCCAGAGAGATTAAGTGATTTGCTACCCAGCTATAAAGTAGAAAAGCAAGCATTTAAAACCAGATCTGTCTGATTCCAAAGCCCATATTTTTTGCTAAACTATAATTACTCATTATTCATAACCACATGCCAGGATTTGTTCTAAAGACTTTACATCCACAGCATAGTGAATTCTCACACCAACCCTGCAAGGCAGGCATCATCATCCATACTTCATACATTAAGTAAGTGAGGTGCACATCCTTGGATGCCTAAATATGCCTCCCAGCTGGCCCTCTCATTTAGGCATTACCTGTGGGTAGCTAGTCCAGGCTGTCACCTTTGCTGCCTGCTGAGGTTTCAACATCATGTCCACTAGAATCTCATGAGAGTTTTGAACATGCTTTGCTGGAGTCCAGGAATACTCTGTGTCCTAGAATTTTTTCCAGGGATTTAAGAAACTATGTTTCTCAGAATCCTAATTGTGATGCAAAATTGAATCCAGATTTGTATAAGAAATTCTTACTGAGTTGTTAAATCATAGAAAGTGGAGCTGGAACGTTCTTGGTCTTGCATCTCACCAGTCCCTCCTCCCATCTGTAGGGTAACTGACAACATCCTGGCCATGGCTCGCCCATCCACCGAGCTCCTCCAGAAGTACTGTGTCATCGAGCAGTTCCAAAGGCAAGTGCCAGTTTGTTTACGTGCTTTCCTCAGCCAGCTCATGTTTTCTTTTCTGTTGCCTTTGACTTAAAATGGAAAAGTGCCTTCATTTGAACAATAAACAATGAAGAACTGTTTTAAAATAAGGAATTAAGGTTTAGAGAATAACTGATAACATTTATTAATGCCGAAAATAGTTCGTTTTTTTAAAATGCTAGTTCCTGATGTGACTGATTTTTTTATTTTTCCTTTAAGCCATGGCATAAAAACAGTCATCAACCTGCAGCGCCCTGGGGAGCATGCCAGCTGTGGGAACCCTCTGGAACAGGAGAGTGGCTTTACGTACCTTCCTGAAGCTTTCATGGAAGCTGGCAGTAAGTCCCTCCACATCGTCTCCATGAGGAACCAAGGACAGCACTAAGAGGTTTTTGTTTGCTCAGCTCTAGGTTGAAAAGATGGTAGGATAAATTCTTCCTGTGTGGCAGCAGGGTTTCCATAAGTGAGGGTGAGCTACTTTGACTTAGACAGTGCTCCATTCCTCGTGGGATCGCTGCTGAAATTAAAGGATTTCTTTTGCCCTCTGAAAGGGATCTTGGAAGGAGCCCCCATAGAAATGATGCCTGCGTGAATTCACAGTGTGCCAGACCTGCCTTCTCATTTCATCCCTAGAGCAGTCAGTCATGTTACGTAGTTGCCAGTTCTGCTTCACACATGAGGCCACGCAGGCTTATTGAGTTTTGACTTACCCAGGATCACACAGCTTACACGTGGTGGTAGGAAAGGAACCTGGACTCACTCGTGCTTGTGCTACTGCACAGCTCTGCCCCTGGGTAAGGTGGAGGCAGGCATTCTTCCTATGACAATCCCAGAAGCTCCTTCATCATGAGAGCTTTGGGGTGGGATGCAGTAAACACATGTCATTCACACTGGGCTGAAAGCCTCGACCTGTGCCATTTGACCATTTGGGGAACTTGTGGTTTTTTTTTTTCGAGTTGAAATATTCTTTTTTTTTTTTTGGTATAATTAATCTACAATTATATGAGGAACATTATGTTTACTAGACTCCCCCCATCACCAAGTCCTCCCCACAAACCCCATTACAGTCACTGTCCATCAGCGTAGTAAGATGCTGTAAAATCAATACTTGTCTTCCCTGTGTTGCATAGCCCTCCCCGTGTCCCCCACATTATACATGCTAATCGTAATGCCCCCTGTCTTCTTCCCCCACTTCTCCCTCCCTTCCCACCCATCTTCCCCAGTCCCTTTCCCTTTGGTAACTGAGTCCATTCTTGGGTTCTATGTTTCTGCTGTTGTTTTGTTCCTTCAGTTTTTTCTTTGTTCTTACATTCCACATGAGTGAAATCATTTGGTATTTGTCTTTCTCTGCCTGGCTTATTTCACTGAGCATAATACCCTCAAGCTCAATCCATGTTGTTGCAAATGGTAGGATTTGTTTTCTTATGGCTGAATAATATTCCATTGTGTATATGTACCACATCTTCTTTATCCATTCATCTACTGATGGACACTTAGGTTCCTTCCATTTCTTGGCTATTGTGAACAGTGCTGCGATAAATATAGGGGTGCATATGTCTTTTTCAAATTGGGCTACTGCATTCTTAAGGTAAGTTCCTAGAAGTGGAATTCCTGAGTCAAGTGGTATTTCTATTTTGAGCTTTTTGAGGAACCTCCATACTGCTTTCCACAATGGCTGAACTAGTTTACATTCCCACCGACAGTGTAGGAGGGTTCCCCTTTCTCCACAACCTCACCAACATTTGTTGTTGTTTGTCTTTTGGATGGTGGTGATCCTTACTGGTTTGAGGTGATATCTCATTGTGGTTTTAATTTGCATTTCTCTGATGACTAGCAATGTGGAGCATCTTTTCATGTGTCTGTTGGCCATCTGAATTTGGGGAATTTGTTTCTAAGAAGCTCATCTCTTGCCTTTTCCTCACTAGGTGGAAGATATACGTGTGCTGCTTTAGCCATTTATCAGCCTTGCAGACATGTTCCCATCCTTAAAAGAGACTGTATGCTTTCCCTGCACACCTGAGGAATAGATGACTTGCCATGGATCATTGATTTTATTAATTTACAATTCTGCTTTTCCTTAATTCTAGCTAAATTTCAGCAAGAAATGTCCTCAGTAATGTAGAATGTGCTTTATAAGACATGTTAGTAAGAAACTTACTAGAAATATAGAAAACTACACATCCAGTGAGATAAGTGTGCCTTACAGCTATCTGCTTTTTAGGAATTCATTCACTTTCCTCAAATGTCTATGCAAGTGTTTTTCCTAGCTCCAGTAGAAAGAATGCCAGGCTAGGATGTGCTGGCATTTGATGACAAAATGGCAAAGGTAGAAAGTTCCAGGTAGAATGTATGAATTCACTGAAATGGAAGTTTCAATAACTGCTTTTTTTCTGTTTTCCTTTTCATTGTCCAGTCTATTTCTACAATTTCGGATGGAAGGATTATGGGGTAGCATCTCTTACTACCCTCTTAGATATGGTGAAGGTGATGACATTTGCCTTAGAAGAAGGAAAAGTGGCTATCCATTGTCACGCAGGCCTTGGTCGGACAGGTAAGTTCTGGAAGGTGTCTTTATTGTCTTATAACATATTTAAACATAAATGGAATAATATTTCCTAATATTAGAGGATAAATATTTTTCAGAATCCTGTCAAAGCTATGAAATCAAATTGAAGAATTCAATAAAAGAATTCAAAAAAAGTATCTTTAAAAGAAAGTATAAATAAATGACCATATATTCCTGATAGTATTTTTGAATTATTTAGGGCTGAAAATTCATCACATTTAATAAACAGGTGGGTTTCCACAGCTAGCTGAATGACCACTCTGGTGATATGGTTTTCTTCTTTAAAGAAAAAGAATCAACACTCTAATACATCATTTCTTCTAAAAATGTAATCTTCCTTAACCAAAATAATAATGAAAATAGCAAGTATTGTTTCCCCTGATATACTAAGCATTTTGCACCAGCTATTTTTTTTATTCTGCTACATTAATGTACAATTACATGAACATTATGGTTACCAGACTCCACCTATTATCACCTCCCCACCACATTCCAGTCACTGTCCATCAGTGTAGTAAGATGCTATAGAAACACTATTTGGCTTCTCTGTGCTATACTGCCTTCCCCATGTCCCCCACCCTACATTATGCGTGCTAATTGTAATGACCCTTTTTCCCCCTTACCCCTTCCTTCCCACACATCCTCCCCAATCCTTACCCTTTGGTAACTGTTACTCCATACTTGTGTTCTATGAGTCTGCTGCTGTTCTGTTCCTTCAGTTTTTTTCTTTGTTCTTATACTCCACATATGAGTGAAATCATTTGGTACTTGTCTTTCTCTGCCTACATTATTTCACTGAGCATAATACCCTCTAGCTCCATCCATGTTGCTGCAAATGGTAGGATTGTCCCTCTTCTTATGGCTGAGTAGTGTTCCATTGTGTATATGTACCACATCTTCTTTATCCATTCATCTACCGATGGACATTTAGGTTGCTTCCAGTTCTTGGCTATTGTAAATAGTGCTGTGATAAACATAGGGGTGCATCTGTCTTTCTCAAACTTGATTGCTGCGTTCTTAGGGTAAATTCCTAGGAGTGGAATTCCTGGGTCAAATGGTAGGTCTGTTTTGAGCATTTTGATGAACCTCCATACTGCTTTCCACAATGGTTGAACTAATTTACATTCCCACCAGCAGTGTAGGAGGGTTCCCCTTTCTCCACAGCCTCGCCAACATTTGTTGTTGTTTGTCTTTTGGATGGCAGCTATCCTTACTGGTGTGAGGTGATACCTCATTGTAGTTTTAATTTGCATTTCTCTGATAATTAGCGATGTGGAGCATCTTTTCATGTGTCTGTTGGCCATCTGTATTTCTTTTTTGGAGAACTGTCTGTTCAGTTCCTCTGCCCATTTTTTAATTGGGTTATTTGTTTTTTGTTTGTTGAGGCGTGTGAGCTCTTTATATATTCTGGACGTCAAGCCTTTATCAGATCTGTCATTTTCAAATATATTCTCCCATACTGTAGGGTTCCTTTTTGTTCTATTGATGGTGTCTTTCGCTGTACAGAAGCTTTTCAGCTTAATGTAGTCCCACTTGCTCATTTTTGCTGTTGTTTTCCTTGCCCGGGGAGATATGTTCAAGAAGAGATCACTCATGTTTATGTCTAAGAGGTTTTTGCCTATGTTTTTTTCCAAGAGTTTAATGGTTTCGTGACTTACATTCAGGTCTTTGATCCATTTTGAGTTTACCTTTGTATATGGGGTTAGACAATGGTCCAGTTTCATTCTCCTACATGTAGCTGTCCAGTTTTGCCAGCACCATCTGTTGAAGAGACTGTCATTTTGCCATTGTATGTCCATGGCTCCTTTATCAAATATTAATTGACCATATATGTTTGGGTTAATTTCTGGGGTCTCTAATCTGTTCCACTGGTCTGTGGCTCTGTTCTTGTGCCAGTACCAAATTGTCTTGATTACTATGGCTTTGTAGTAGAGCTTGAAGTTGGGGAGTGAGATCCCCCCTACTTTATTCTTCTTTTTCAGGATTGCTTTGGCTATTCGGGGTCTTTGGTGTTTCCATATGAATTTTTGAATTATTTGTTCCAATTCATTGAAGAATGTTGCTGGTAATTTGAGAGGGATTGCATCAAATTTGTATATTGCTTTGGGCAGGATGGCCATTTTGACGATATTAATTCTTCCTAGCCATGAGCATGGGATGAGTTTCCATTTATTAGTGTCCCCTTTAATTTCTCTTAAGAGTGACTTGTAGTTTTCAGAGTATAAGTCTTTCACTTCTTTGGTTAGGTTTATTCCTAGGTATTTTATTCTTTTTGATGCAATGGTGAATGGAATTGTTTTCCTGATTTCTCTTTCTATTGATTCGTTGTTAGTGTATAGGAAAGCTACAGATTTCTGTGTGTTAATTTTGTATCCTGCAACTTTGCTGTATTCCGATATCAGTTCTAGTAGTTTTGGAGTGGAGTCTTTAGGGTTTTTTATGTACAATATCATATCATCTGCAAATAGTGACAGTTTAACTTCTTCTTTACCAGTCTGGATGCCTTTTATTTATTTGTGTTGTCTGATTGCTATGGCTAGGACCTCTAGTACTATGTTATATAACAGTGGGGAGAGTGGGCATCCCTGTCCAATTCCCGATCTCAGAGGAAAAGCTTTCAGCTTCTTGCTGTTCAGTATAATGTTGGCTGTGGGTTTATCATATATGGCCTTTATAATGTTGAGGTACTTGCCCTCTATTCCCATTTTGTGGAGAGTTTTTATCATGAATGGATGTTGAATTTTGTCAAATTCTTTTTCAGCATCTATGGAGATGATCGTGTGGTTTTTGTCTTTCTTTTTGTTGATGTGGTGGATGATGTTGATGGATTTTCGAATGTTGTACCATCCTTGCATCCCTGTGGTGAATCCCACTTGGTCATGGTGTATGATCCTTTTGATATGCTGTTGAATTCTGTTTGCTAATATTTTATTGAGTATTTTGCATCTATATTCATTAGGGATATTGGTCTGTAATTTTCTTTTTTGGTGGGGTCTTTGCCTGGTTTTGGTATTAGGATGATGTTGGCTTTATAGAATGAGTTTGGGAGCATTCCCTCCTCTTCTCTTTTTTGGAAAACTTTATGGAGAATAGGTATTACATCTTCTCTGTAAGTCTGATAAAATTCCGAGGTAAATCCGTCTGGCCCGGGGGTTTTGTTTTTGGGTAGTTTTTTTATTACGATTTCAATTTCTTTGCTCATAATTGGTTTGTTTAACTTTTGTGTTTCTTCCTTGGTCAGTCTTGGAAGGTTTTTTTTTCTAGGATGTTGTCCATTTCTTCTAGGTTTTCCAACTTGTTAGCATATAGGTTTTCATAGTAGTCTTTAATAATTCTTTGTACTTCTGTGGCATCTGTCGTGATTTTTCCATTCTCATTTCTGATTCTGTTGATTCTCTTTTTCTCTTAATAATTCTGGCTAGAGGCTTATCTATTTTGTTTATTTTCACAAAGAACCAGCTCTTGGTTTCATTGATTTTTTTCTATTGTTTCACTCTTCTCAATTTTGTTCATTTCTTCTCTGATCTTTATTATGTCCCTCCTTCTGCTGACTTTAGGCCTCATTTGTTCTTCTTTTTCCAGTTTCATTAATTGTGATGTTAGACTATTCATTTGGGTTTGTTCTTCCCTCTTTAAATATACCTGGATTGCTATATACTTACCTCTTCAGACCGCTTTTGCTGTGTCCCACAGAAGTTAGGGCTTTGTGTTGTTGTTGTCATTTGTTTCTACATATTCCTTGATCTCTATTTTGATTTGTTCATTGATCCTTTGTTTATTTAGAAGCGTGTTGTTAAGCCTCCATGTGTTTGTGAGCCTTTTTTTTTTCTTTGTAGAATTTATTTCTTGTGTTATACCTTTGCGGTCTGAAAAATTGGTTGGTAGAATTTCAATATTTTGGAATTTACTGAGGCTCTTTTTGTGGGCTAGTATGTAGTCTATTCTGGAGAATGTTCCATGTGCACTTGAGAAGAATGTATATCCTGTTGCTTTTGGATGTAAGGTTCTATATATGTCTATTAGGTCCATCTGTTCTAGTGTGTTGTTCAGTGCCTCTGTGTCCTTACTTATTTTCTTCCTGGTGGATCTGTCCTTTGGGGTGAGTGGTGTGTTGATGTCTACTAAAATGAATGCATTGCAGTCTATTTCCCCCTTTAGTTCTGTTAGTATTTGTTTCACATATGCTGGTGCTCCTGTGTTGGGTGCATATCTATTTAGAATGGTTATATCCTCTTATTGGACTGAGCCCTTTATCATTATGTAATGTCCTTCTTTATCTCTTGTTACTTTCTTTGTTTTGAAGTCTATTTTGTCTGATATTAGTACTGCAACCCCTGCTTTCTTCTCACTGTTGTTTGCCTGAAATATGTTTTTCCATCCCTTGACTTTTAGTCTGTGCATGTCTTTGGGTTTGAGGTGAGTTTCTTGTAAGTAGCATATAGATGGGTCTTGCTTTTTTATCCATTCTATTACTCTGTGTCTTTTGATTGGTGCATTAAGTCCATTTACATTTAGGGTGACTATTGAGAGATATGTACTTATTGCCATTGCAGGCTTTAGATTCGTGGTTACCAAAGGTTCAAGGTTAGCCTCTTTAGTATCTTACTGCCTAACTTAGCTCGCTTATTGAGCTGTTATATACACTGTCTGGAGATTCTTTTCTTCTCTCCCTTCTTATTCCTCCTCCTCCATTCTTCATATGTTGTGTGTTTTGTTCTGCACTCTTTTTAGGAGTGCTCCCATCTAGAGCAGTCCCTGTAGGATGCCCTGTAGAGGTGGTTTGTGGGAAGCAAATTCCCACAGCTTTTGCTTGCCTGGAAATTGTTTAATCCTGCCATCATATTTAAATGATATTCATGCTGGATACAGTATCCTTGGTTCAAGGCCTTTCTGTTTCATTGTATTAAATATATCATGCCATTCTCTTCTGGCCTGTAGGGTTTCTGTTGAGAAGTCTGATGATAGCCTGATGGGTTTTCCTTTAT